AACCTGAGAATGTATTGTAAAAAAAAAAAAATACAAATAATACATACCCAATGATAGTTCCATAATAATTAAAACTAAAATACAAATAGTTGATTTCTGCATAATGAACAAATGAACTCGTTATACTGAAAAATACTTCACGATAGACAATGAAAACTGCGATACACAATCTTATAATGTACAGTGAAAAATTTAAATGAACATCATATACATTATTTAGCAAGTGTATTCAGACTATACAGTAGCAGTTTTATTAAAGTATGACGCAAAAGGTACTGTTATTTGTAAAAAACAAAACAATACATGTTTCCAAAAAACCTGTGAGGTAGAGCAAACATTAAGGTGGTAATAAACAATTTTTGGTGATACAATAAAAAATTGCCCAATATTTAAAATATTTCAATGAAATATATAAATATCGGTTGTATTTATCATAATTATTTTATAAAATTGCACGCATAATATGTCAGCATGTCATTTAAGAGTAACAAAAAAAGGGACCAACAATAAAGTGTTTCTGTATAGGAGTGTGGTATACAAATCAATAGTTAAGATATATCAAATATTTAAAATAAATGATTTATTACATTTTTTTTCTAAAATAATTACAATTTTTCATTTGCTTTTTTAAAATCTTTTACGATTTTTAAATCTGGAAACTTATGGGTCTATGAAATATTCAGTTGAATATAAAATACATTATTTAACAAACGTTGTTCAAACTTAATAGAAACGGTGTTATTAAAGTATGACGCAGGTGGCAATGTTATTTGGAAAATAGCAGAACGTACAGGTTTTTAAGAAAACACATGTGCAGGATAAAACATTTCGTTAGCAATAAACAATTTTGGTTAGAGCTGCATGAAATTATTGTCCTATATTCAAAATATTCCTGATAATTTTCGAAATCAATAAGTCAAAATGTTAAATATATTATTTGACATATGTTAAATGTATGTATTTATGAATATTATTTAACATAAAAATTAAGAAAATAAGTCAGTCTCTAAAAAATACAAAGCTGCTCCAACTAAAACTGTGGTTAATATAAGGGCACATTCCATTACTAGTTAGACAGAGTTATAAAAAAATTGGTCCTGACAAAAGAATGCGTATTATAGAGTCTTAATAAAGTTCTATTTGAAAGAACTAAATAAAAAGTTGTTTCAGTAAACATTTAGTTGTTCTACCTCGATATTTATGTGACCCTACAGTAAACATAGTTTAAGTGGAACCATTTATAAAGTTTTTCTGTGTAGTAGGGTGGTATACAAATGAATAGTAAAGACATATCAGATATGTGTCTAATATTTAAAATAGATGATTTATTACAATTTTTTTCTAAAATATTTCTAATTTTTCATTTTTTTTTTTTAATTATCTACGATTAAATCTGGAAACTTAAGTGTCAATGAAATATTCAAATTAATATAAAATACATTATTTAACAAACGTTATTCCAACTATAAAAAAAACAGTGTTACTAAAGTATGACGCAAATGGCAATGTTATTTTGAAAATAACAGAATGTACATATTTCTAAACAAACACACGTGCCGTATAAAATATTTCGTTAGCAATAAACAATTTATGTTGCATGAAATTATTGTCCAATATTTCAAATATTACTGATATTTTTTGATAACAATAAGTCAAATTGTTAAGGATATATGTTATTAAATATTTATGATTAATTTAAGGGCACAATACATTTCGAATTAAGTTGATCTATTAAAAAGTTGGTCTAAATTAAAACACGCTTATTATAGGGGCTTAATTAATTTTTATTTGAAAGAACTAAATAAAAAGTTGTTCCAGTAAACATTTAGTTGGGCCAACTATTTATTTAGTTGTATCACCTGGATATTTATGTGTCCCTGTAGTAAACATAGTTTAAGTGGGACCAACTATAAAGTTTTTCTGTGTAGGAGGATGGTATACAAATCAATAGTAAAGATATATCAAATATAAGTATAATGTTGAAACCAATTATTCATTAATTATAAGACACAATAGAAGAAATGATAAAAGTTGGGTAAAACTAATTATTCAATCCAAGAGTGATCTAGGAAAGAAAAAAGAGTTGGCTAGAAAAAAAAATCACAAAGGCAAACATTTTATATATAATCATGAATCTTTTTATTATAAAAAGTATTAGGCAGTTAACACATTTGTTTAGTAGTGTGGTACGAAGAAATAATGTAAATATACTAATAATTATATTGCTGTACAATTGATATAATTTTTGTATTATTTGAACGAATGTGTGTGTATGAGAATCAGTAATTCCTAGGTTCCAGATCTATAACAGATTGCTTTTAAATGTTTGACAGTATGGTCTTGAAGGTTGATAACTACGAAGAAAAATAATCCAAAAGTGGTTCATTTTGTTAATCATCTTCCAACAGATAAAAAATTGGGTTTCAAAGCCGTTTGTAGTCGGTACGTCTATAATGGAATGTAAAAATAATCGAGTATTATTACTACTTAAAATTGGTTCCATTGTTGCACCATTTGGCGATACTCGAAAAATTTAGTTTCCAAACCTATTGTAGTAGTTAATATTGTTGTGTGTACCACCAGAGTCACTAGCTTAACGCATTACGTATTATGTATTTATTAATAATAAATATAAACACAGATATCTAAAGTAATTGTTATTGGCAAACTTGGCCTCTTTCGGTGTGTATTATTTCAATTAAACCTTTTCTTCAAAAACCAACGCTTTGCTCATAACACTGGTAAATAAATTCTGATTTTGATATGACGTCCAATTAGATGCTATGTGGCGATCATTTACACTGAGCTAAGATAGCATTGTTATTGTTTTTTTCATAATAGTAGATATTACCCATGGAGTTTACTCATTTTTACAGATATAATATAGATTTTACCCTTCACTCCTAAAGAGATATGCAGTATCTACAAATATCTATACATTAGGAAAATTAGTTTTTTGATTTCAAATATTTGGCTGACCTCGTGTAGTTGAGAGTATAAGGCAAAGATAAAGAAGATAATTTTCTAAATATTAACTGTTAAAATTATTAATTTTTACTTTATTTATTACAATTAATTATTAATTTTTCTGCATGAGTTATTAGTAATAAGTATCCTTAATATTTTTGAAATTATTGTTTTGTAATAATTAGTCTATTACCTATACTTTTTCATTTTTAAGAAGATACTGTCTATTTGAAATCAGTTTACTAAGAATTATGAACACTTTTCTTTGTACATGCTGCTTTTTTCTCAAGATTATACTACGTACTGTGTTTTCACACCAAATCAATTGTCAAAGGATAACATGCCACATTCAAAGCGCCTCAACCAATAACGATTATTATATTTTAATTTAATCCGTCGTATTATCTCGACAAATCTCTTTGAAATTATGCAAAATGTTGATATAGGCTATAACGATGAAGAAATCATATACACATTGTACTTGAACAAAGCTACAATAATAATAACGGGTGAAAATATAGCGACCAAGTTTGAACTTGTACTAATGCAAAACAACATATTTTAAATTTGCCAGATAAAAGAAGTTTATTATAATTTTGTGAAAAATAGGTTTTTGGTTTCGTAATAGTTTACACAATTTAATTTTGTATTTTTATATTTATTGACAAGCTGTATTTTTAACTGAATATAAATATATATTTGTAACTTGCACTGTTGTCATTAGATCCTTTCTGTCAAAAAAAAAAAAAATCATAATTCATAACTTAAATAGAATTAACTTTTATAATGTTACCTATGTAGTATGCTTTTCATGTGGAAATAGTTTTTCCTCAATTTCCTAAGAAATATTATTTTATAATATTAGAACTATAAATATACAGGGTGATTCTTTTATCATGAACCACTTAATATCTCATAGGGTTAAATAAGAAATTAAATATTTTCTTCAAATTGTTGTTATACAATGTGATTTTAATTTTTTATAATTTTTTTTGTTTTTACCCCCTCCCAACTTAGTTTCTTTGATAGCAACATTTGAAACTTAAATGGTTACATACGTTATTCAATTAACTTTCTATATTGAGAATAATTTACTAAAAATGTTGACTGGTCGATAACCAGTTTCGGATAACTATTTTTAAATTTGTAGAGTTTTAAAGTTAGGTTTGGAGGGGAAGTGCGGTTGGTAAATCCGCGCAGATAAAAATAATACTATACTCCACCTTCCCTCTTGCCCTAAACTTAAAACTTAAATAACATAAAAAAATTCAAAAAGTACTATCAAAAAAATATATATTTATATAAGAACAATATGAAGAAAAAATTGTTAATTTCTTATTGTTATATATTTATATAAAAATTAGGTTGGTTTACCGGTGATAAATGTTTCCTGATTTCTTTTGAATGAGCTTCCTGTTCCTGTTTACTGTATTTCTTATAATATTCTAAACACGATACGATACGTTATTATTATAAATTATTATTATGTATGAAAATAAATATTAAAATATAATATTTTAATATATAATGACAATAATAATAATATTATTAAACTGTAATACGGCGGCCCGCGGTCAGCGATGTAACATTTCCACGATGCGGTCAATGAATTATCATTGAAGGAAAAAATAATTTAAGTATTATGAAAAAGGGACGTCCACTTACGGTTGCACTTGCACTGATGATATCCACATGCACAAAATCTATTATATGCTAAAAATACAAAAAAAAAAAGGTTTTTTATTTATTTGAGAACATTTAACAATAACAATTTATTTTAGTGAAATTGAAAGCAAATGATAGCTTTCAATTTTAACATTTTTTACAGGTTTTTAAAACTGTTCAGAGGGATACTATTCTAATACCGGTAGAAGAATATTAACACATCTCATCTATTGCTAGTGGTTTGAACGTATGTTAGAAAAACGAGTTCGACGGGTTATGATTTAGATTATATAAGTGAATCAACAAACTAATAGTGTTAATTTTATTGGTTTAAAAAAAATTATCTTTTGAAAATAAGTAGTGACTACCTCCTACTTTGCAATCTGGAATGAGTCCGCGCGCCACGCTTCCGGCAACTGCACCAACTTTCAAGCAAATAAAGTATTAGGTATTTAAAAATAACTTGAAGATTATGATTTAAAACTAATTAGTGTACAATTTTAAAAGAGCACAAAATTATGTAATCAATCAAAGTCGCTCAACTGTACTAACCTTTGAGCCTTAATACATAACTTATTGATGATAACTATTAACATCTTACTAAACCAATTTAAAGGTAAAGTCTGTCATATTATCGAATCAAAATTCTATTATAAGATGTTAATTATTTGTCAAGTTCGATGTGTTTTATAATGACACAATTTATATTGCAGTGCATACATGTTTAAATTTTTTCAAAGATATTCGATTATAGAATTATTCATAATCGAACATTTCAAAATAAATGAACAAGACATTTAAGACGTCAAAATTAAACTAGTTTTTATCGTGAATATTTTTGGTACCATATTCAATTGTTCAAACAAAATTAAATAAAACAAAGTAATAAGTGATGAAAAACATACTTTTTTTTATTCCAGACGCACAGCCTAAAATACAAAAAAACATTTTTAGTTATTTGAAAACTTATTACAATGAAACATTTTTAATAGTGAATATGTAAAAAAATTATAGTCCTAAGTATAACATTTTTTACGCGATTTTAAAACTGTTAAGAGGGATACGATACTTATTCCAGTCCATGAATATTAACACATCTCATGTATTTCTGGTGGTTTGAACTTATAGTGTTAGAGAAACGGTAAGAGTAACACTATACAGGTGATTCTTTCATCGTGGGCCACTTAATAATCCAAAGAGTTAAATAAAAAAATTATTTTTTTTCATTATGTTTTTATACAATTTGATAACAGTTTTTCCCATTTTTTTTGGTTTTTACCACCTCCTACCTTAGTTTTTTTGTTAGCAGCTTTCGAATTTTAAATGGCAACATATACTTTTCATTAGCATTTTAAATTGAGAAAAATGTACTAAAAACGTTGACTGGTCGATAACAAGTTTCGGATATCAATTTTTAAAAATTTTTTTGGTGTTTAAATATAACGAAAAATTGCACATTAGGCATCTACTAACTCTACGGCCAATACTATACATTTAAAACCCTTTATTTGTTGATTGCCATCTATAATTCAACAAATTATACATATCAAATTAATGTTTGCCAACTTAAAATTGACATAACAGTATTTATAAAAATTAAAATTAATCGAGTATAAGTAGCAATCATGTTTTATACGATGTTTTAGTACTTTTGTGCAGCTTCTACATAATGCAGACTTATCTGGTCTAGTATTATTAACATTTTTTTAAAAATATGACTTATAAAAATGTATTAAAATTTTTAGATATAGATATAGAGAAATAAGTGGAAATCCAATTAACTATATTTATTATGAAATAATTGTTTATAAAACATGTATGACAAATCATTTTTCGTTCGACTGAACTATTTTTTAGTTATTGAGGTTTCAAGTTAAAGTCGGGAGGAAGAGTGGGTTGTAGTATTATTTTTAACTGCGCGCACTATTCAACCGCACTTCCCTTCCCATCATAACTTTAAAAACACTTGTCCAAAACTGGACACAACCAGTCCAAGGTTTTAGTACATTATTCTCAATTTAAAAAGTTAATGAAGTGCAATAATATGCAATAATATTTAAGTATCAAAGGTTTTATCAATAAAACTAAGTTAGTAGGAGGGAAGAGACAAATGAAAATGTAAAAAATTGAGATTACATTATAAAAAACAAATTATAATATCTTGTTGAACACTATGAGATATTGAATGGTTGAAATAATCACCCTGTGTACTTGTATATATATATGTATGTATGTAAATATAACTTTTAACCCTTATAACTTTAAAAATACCTGCCCAAAACTGGTTCACAGCCAGTCAAAGATTTTAGTACATTATTCTCAATTTAAAAAGTTAATGAAATATATGCTTAACTATTTAAGTATCAAATATTTCTATCAATAAAATTTAGTTGGTAAGGGGGAAGAAACAAATGAAAATGTAAAAAATTGAGATTACATTATAAAAACAAATTATAATATCTTGTTGAACACTATGAGATATTGAGAGATATATAATAAAATAATCACCCTGTGTACTTGTATGTATGTATGTATGTAAATATAATATATATTATCCAATAGGTAACTATTAAATTCTTAGTTTATACTGACCTATATTGACATCCTTCAATTTGTCATCTAAACCGACATGTAATACAAATCATGACAGGACCAAAATAAACAAAAAAAAAAAATTGAATAAAACTGACGAAAAACATTCTTATTGTTGGGTCAGACCCGAAGAGTGAGTTTCACAGTCCAAACTAAGCACAGTGTACACCAGCAAAGTTAGAAAGTATTAAATTAGGGTGCTGTATTTACAAATATGTAAAAAGTGTTTATTTAAAAGTGATTTTATCACTGTTGTTAACAAAAATTCCTGTAAACCTGTGAACTTCCCCTCCCCACTAAGCCCCACCCTACTTTACTGGATTTTTAGTTTGCTTTTTTTAAAAACTTTAACAATTTTTAAATTTTTATGTTTAGTTGGGCCAACTATTTATTTAGTTGTATCACCTGGATATTTATGTGTCCCTATAGTAAACACAGTTTAAGTGGGACCAACTATAAGGTTTTTCTGTGTAAGAGGGTAGTATACATACAAATCAATAGTAAAGTTATATCAAATAAAAGTATAATGTTGAAAACAGAATGATCATTAAGTATCAGAATCTTCTTTCTATAAAATAATTCTAATTTTTAGTTTGCTTTTTTAAAATATTTTACGATTAAAAATAGTTGAAAACTTATGAGTCAATGAAATATTCAAATGAATAAAATATACATTATTTAACAAACGTTATTCAAACTATACAGAAACAGTGTTTTTAAAGTATGACGCAAATGGCAATGTTTTTTGGAAAATAACAGAATGTACATATTTCTAAACAAACACATGTGCCGAATAAATTATTTTGTTAGCAATAAACAATTTTGGTTAGCGTTACGTACAACTTTTGTCTAAAATTTTAATTATTCCTGATATTTTTCGATAACAATAAGTTAAAATGTTAAATATATTATTTAACATATAAATTAAGGTAATAAGTCAGTCTCTAAAAAACACAAAGTTGGTTCAACTAAAACTGTAATTAATATAAGGGCACAATCCATTACTTGATAGACTGAGTTATTTAAAATTCGTTCATGATAAAAGCAGACTTATTATAGGAACTTAATACAATTTTCAAATGGTATGCATATAAATATATAGTTGGGTTAAAACACTAATTATGAACGATCATTCGGAGCAACCCCCAGCGGTTTTGAAACTTTGCATGTCTATTACAATGAAAAGAATATTCTCACGCAGAATGAGTTTCAAAAATGTCTGCAGGGGAGTACTCCAAAAGGTTGTTCGTATTTGGCGTTTTGGCGCTTGTTTTAATAAAAAACAACGTAAAATTACCAAGGTTATTTTTCCACTCTTTTCCACCTAACCAACAAATAACACAAATATAATTACTGTTTAATACCAAAAAAATGACATAGTTTTGTATAGAAAAATAATAAATGATTAGATATCCTAATTTACAAGTGTTGGTATTTCCTCGCCTCAAACTTTTCAGCATAAAATAAATAAATCATTTTTTTAATTAAATATTTTGTTTAATTTTGGTACCGTGAAAAACTATAAAAACAAACGTATAAAGAATGTAATCTGTAATGGTACTGTTATCTACTTTTAGGTGTATATTACTACACGGACATATTGTAAAATAAATCAGTAAAAATATACAAGGTCAATAGAAAAAGTTTATAAAATTATATATAAAATGTATAGCTGTATATAATTTATAAACATACTTGGAAATGGTCGACCCTGTGTGACTAAATATAAAAAACAAAATTAGGTTTCAATATAAATTCATACTCGCTTACATAATTTTTAAATGAAAATAATTTCTCCATTCAATTAACTTAAAATACAATTTGTCATTTAATTAGAATCCATACAATTTTGACGATTATATAATTGAACCTGAGAATGTATTGTAAAAAAGAAATACAAATAAGACATACCCAATGATAGTTCCATAATAATGAAAACTAAAATACAAATAGTTAATTTTTGCATAATTTACTAATGAACTTGTTATACTGAAAAATACTTCACGATAGACAATGAAAACTGCGATACACAATCTTATAATGTACAGTGAAAAATTTAAATGAACATCAAATACATTATTTAGCAAGTGTATTCAGACTATACAGTAGCAGTTTTATTAAAGTATGACGCAAAAGGTACTGTTATTTGTAAAAAACAAAACAATACATGTTTCCAAAAAACCTGTGAGGTAGAGCAAACATTAAGGTAGTAATAAACAATTTTTGGTAATACAATAAAAAATTGCCCAATATTTAAAATATTTCAATGAAATATATAAATATCGGTTGTATTTATCATAATTATTTTATGAAATTGCATGCATATAATGTCAACCTGTCATTTAAGAGTAACAAAAAAAGGGACCAACAATAAAGTGTTTCTGTATAGGAGGGTGGTATACAAATAAATAGCAAAGATATATCAAATATTTAAAATAAATGATTTATTACATTTTTTTTTTAAAATAATTATAATTTTTCATTTGCTTTTTTAAAATCTTTTACGATTTTTAAATCTGGAAACTTATGGGTCTATGAAATATTCAGTGAATATAAAATACATTATTTAACAAACGTTATTCAAACTTAATAGAAACGGTGTTATTAAAGTATGACGCAGGTGGCAATGTTATTTGGAAAATAGCAGAACGTACAGGTTTTTAAGAAAACACATGTGCAGGATAAAACATTTCGTTAGCAATAAACAATTTTGGTTAGAGTTGCATGAAATTATTGTCCTATATTCAAAATATTCCTGATAATTTTCGAAATCAATAAGTCAAAATGTTAAATATATTATTTGACATATGTTAAATGTATGTATTTAAGAATATTATTTAACATAAAAATTAAGAAAATAAGTCAGTCTCTAAAAAATACAAAGCTGCTCCAACTAAAACTGTGGTTAATATAAGGGCACATTCCATTACTAGTTAGACAGAGTTATAAAAAAATTGGTCCTGACAAAAGAATGCTTATTATAGAGTCTTAATAAAGTTCTATTTGAAAGAACTAAATAAAAAGTTGTTTCAGTAAACATTAAGTTGTTCTACCTAGATATTTATGTGACCCTACAGTAAACATAGTTTAAGTGGAACCATTTATAAAGTTTTTCTGTGTAGCAGGGTGGTATACAAATGAATAGTAAAGACATATCAGATATGTGTCTAATATTTAAAATAGATGATTTATTACAATTTTTTTCTAAAATATTTCTAATTTTTCATTTTTTTTTTTAAATTATCTACGATTAAATCTGGAAACTTAAGTGTCAATGAAATATTCAAATTAATATAAAATACATTATTTAACAAACGTTATTCCAATTATAAAAAAAACAGTGTTACTAAAGTATGACGCAAATGGCAATGTTATTTTGAAAATAACAGAATGTACATATTTCTAAACAAACACACGTGCCGTATAAAATATTTCGTTAGCAATAAACAATTTTTGTTGCATGAAATTATTGTCCAATATTTCAAATATTACTGATATTTTTTGATAACAATAAGTCAAAATGTTAAGTATATATGTTATTAAATAATTATGATTAATTTAAGGGCACAATACATTTCGAGTTAAGTTGATCTATTAAAAAGTTGGTCTTAATTAAAGCACGCTTATTATAGAGGCCTAATTAATTTCTATTTGAAAGAACTAAATAAAAAGTTGTTCCAGTAAACATTTAGTTGGGGCAACTATTTATTTAGTTATACCACCTGGATATCAATGTGTCCCTATAGTAAACATAGTTTTAGTGGGATCAGCTATAAAGTTTTTCTGTGTAGGAGGATGGTATACAAATCAATAGTAAAGATATATCAAATATAAGTATGATGTTGAAACCAATTATTCATTAATTATAAGACACAATAGAAGAAATGATAAAAGTTGGGTAAAACTAATTATTCAATCCAAGAGTGATCTAGGAAAGAAAAAGGAGTTGGCTAGAAAAAAAATCACGAAGGCAAACATTTTGTATATAATCATGAATCTTTTCATTATAAAAAGTATTAGGCAATTCACACATTTGTTTAGTAGTGTGGTACGAAGAAATAATGTAAATATACTAATAATTATATTACTGTACAATTGATATAATTTTTGTATTATTTGAACGAATGTGTGTGTATAAGAATCAGTAATTCCTAGGTTCCAGATCTATAACAGATTGCTTTTAAATGTCTGACAGTATGGTCTTGAAGGTTGATAACTACGAAGGAAAATAATCCAAGAGTGGTTCATTTTGTTAATCATCTTCCAACAGATAAAAAATTGGGTTTCAAAGCCGTTTGTAGCCGGTACGTCTATAATGGAATGTAAAAATAATCGAGTATTATTACTACTTAAAATTGGTTCCATTATTGCACCATTTGGCGATACTCGAAAAATTTAGTTTCCAAACCTATTGTAGTAGTTAATATTGTTGTGTGTACAGGTTAGTTTTTAAATAACAGAGTCGACAACCTCGGTAGATTTTATATATTGGCAGCAGTTTTGTATTGTTGTACAATCCTACCAAACAACAAATCTGGATACAAGTGAAATCTTTATCTTGTCCACCTCAATAGAAAATAAAACAGGTTTTTGTTTTAAATTGGCCAATTTTAGCTGACTATTTACTAATTTATTTTGTTGTGCGTTATTCCTTGAAATCAAATAAAACACTTTTAATATTTATATTTTTAGTTATAATGTTATGAATTATTAAGATGTAATATTTAAAGGCGCGTGCGTTTGATAGACGACAACCGTATCCTAAATGATGACGGCGTGCGTGTTATCTCTGGTGTATATGTTTACGCGAACAGATAATCCCGTCTTAAATCTATCATATGACAATACATATGATAGCTTACCCTTGATAACAATGGAATTTTAATTATAACAATAGGTAGCGGCTTCCTTTGAGGGCTAGAAAAATGCTGAGCTTGCACATTTTTAATGGAATTAACAATAGGTGTTGGCGAAATTACACACTTGTTTACGTCATTGACCTTGACATTTGAGTATAGCAATAGTCGGCGGCTTCCTTTGAGGGCCAGAATCGGCATTTTATAGACTACTCATAATATAATTATATTTCAATAAAATGCTGTGTTACTATTTTTCTTGTACCTGCCGTTAGCTGTATTGAATCTCGAAAAAGGTATTTTTCTTGTACTTAACACTCAAATAACTTATAAAACACTTTAACATTTTATTAGTTTTCTATGTCTAGATCTACTATACATTTTCTGTACAATAGATCTGCATCTCCATGTAGTGTATGCTAATAGTTAAGAAATTGTTCCTAAGAGGTAATTTATAAGGCTTAAATGAAAAATAACCGATCTCCGTAGTCACGTTTCACCTAACACAAGCGTTGACAGGTGCTTCCTGGAATACTTGTGGAAGGGGAAAATAGCCCGTAGTCCACAATGTTTCTTGTGTAGGACAGCTTTTTAAGCACACCAGCTCTCGAGAAGTCCACCAGAGCCACTAGCTTAACGCATTACGTATTATGTATTTATTAATAATAAATATAAACACAGATATCTAAAGTAATTGTTATTGGCAAACTTGGCCTCTTTCGGTGTGTATTATTTCAATTAAACTTTTTCTTCAAAAACCAAAGCTTTGCTCGTAACACTGGTAATTAAATTCTAATTTTGATATGACGTCCAATTAGATGCTATGTGGCGATCATTTACACTGAGCTAAGATAGCATTTTTATTGTTTTTTTCATAATAGTAGATATTACCCATGGAGTTTCCTCATTTTTACAGATATAATATAGATTTTACCCTTCACTCCTAAAGAGATATGCAGTATCTACAAATATCTATACATTAGGAAAATTAGTTTTTTGATTTCAAATATTTGGCTGACCTCGTGTAGTTGAGAGTATAAGGCAAAGATGAAGAAGATAATTTTCTAAATATTCACTGTTAAAATTATTAATTTGTACTTTATTTATTACAATTAATTATTAATTTTTCTGCATGAGTTATTAGTAATAAGTATCCTTAATATTTTTGAAATTATTGTTTTGTAATAATTAGTCTATTACCTATACTTTTTCATTTTTAAGAAGATACTGTGTATTTGAAATCAGTTTACTTAGAATTATGAACACTTTTCTTTGTACATGCTGCTTTTTTCTCAAGATTATACTACGTACTGTGTTTTCACACCAAATCAATTGTCAAAGGATAACATGCCACATTCAAAGCGCCTCAACCAATAACAAATATTATATTTTAATTTAATCCGTCGTATTATCTCGACAAATCTCTTTGAAATTATGCAAAATGTTGATATAGGCTATAACGATGAAGAAATCATATACACATTGTACTTGAACAAAGCTACAATAATAATAACGGGTGAAAATATAGCGACCAAGTTTAAACTTGTACTAATGCAAAACAACATATTTTAAATTTGCCAGATAAAAGAAGTTTATTATAATTTTGTGAAAAACAGGTTTTTGGTTTCGTAATAGTTTACACAATTTAATTTTGTATTTTTATATTTATTGACAAGCTGTATTTTTAACTGAATATAAATATATATTTGTAACTTGCACTGTTGTCATTAGATCCTTTCTGTCAAAAAAAAAAAAATTCATAATTCATAATTTAAATAGAATTAACTTTTATAATGTTACCTATGTAGTATGCTTTTCATGTGGAAATAGTTTTTCCTCAGTTTCCTAAGAAATATTATTTTATAATATTAGAACTATAAATATACAGGGTGATTCTTTTATCATGAACCACTTATTATCTCATAGGGTTAAATAAGAAATTAAAATTTTTCTTCAAATTGTTGTTATACAATGTGATCTAAATTTTTTATAATTTTTTTTGTTTTTACCCCCTCCCAACTTAGTTTCTTTGATAGCAACATTTGAAACTTAAATGGTTACATACGTTATTCAATTAACTTTCTATATTGAGAATAATTTACTAAAAATGTTGACTGGTCGATAACCAGTTTCGGATAACTATTTTTAAATTTGTAGAGTTTTAAAGTTAGGTTTGGAGGGGAAGTGCGGTTGGTAAATCCGCGCAGATAAAAATAATACTATACTCCACCTTCCCTCTTGCCCTAAACTTAAAACTTAAATAACATAAAAAAATTCAAAAAGTACTATCAAAAAAATATATATTTATATAAGAACAATATGAAGAAAAAATTGTTAATTTCTTATTGTTATATATTTATATAAAAATTAGGTTAGTTTACCGGTGATAAATGTTTCATGGTTTCTTTTGAATGAGCTTCCTGTTCCTGTTTACTGTATCTCTCAGAATATTCTAAACAAGATACGATACGTTATTATTATAAATTATTATTATGTATGAAAATAAATATTAAAATATAATATTTTAATATATAATGACAATAATAGTAATATTATTAAACTGTAATATTAGAAGTTTATTACGGCGGCCCGCGGTCAGCGAGGTAACATTTCCACGATGCGTTCAATGAATTATCATAGAAGGAAAAAATAATTTAAGTATTATGAAAAAGGGACGTCCACTTACGGTTGCACTTGCACTGATGATATCCACATGCACAAAATCTATTATATTTTAAAACTACAAAAAAAAAAAGGTTTTTTATTTATTTGAGAACATTTAACAATAACAATTTATTTTAGTGAAATTGAAAGCAAATGATAGCTTTTAATTTTAACATTTTTTACAGGTTTTTAAAACTGTTCAGAGGGATACTATTCTAATACCGGTAGAAGAATATTAACACATCTCATCAATTGCTAGTGGTTTGAACGTATGTTAGAAAAACGGGTTCGACGGGTTATGATTTAGATTATATAAGTGAATCAACAAACTAATAATGTTAATTTTATTGATTTAAAAAAAATTATCTTTTGAAAATAAGTAATGACTACCTCCTAATCTGCAATCTGGAATGAGTCCGCGCGCCACGCTTCCGGCAACTGCACCAACTTTCAAGCAAATAAAGTATTAGGTATTTAAAAATAACTTGAAGATTATGATTTAAAACTAATTAGTGTACAATTTTAAAAGAGCACAAAATGATGTAATCTAATCAAAGTCGCTCAACTGTACTAACCTTTGAGCCTTAGTACATAATTTATTGATGATAACTATTAACATCACACTAAACCAGTTTAAAGGAAAAGTCTGTCATATTAACGAATCAAAATTCTATTATAAGATGTTAATTATTTGTCAAGTTCGATGTGTTTTATAATGACATATATTATGTTGCAGTGCATACATGTTTAAATTTTTTCAAAGATATTCGATTATAGAATTATTCATAATCGAACATTTTAAAATAAATGAACAAGACATTTAAGACGTCAAAATTAAACTAGTTTTTATCGTGAATAGTTTTGGTACCATATTCAATTGTTCAAACAAAATTAAATAAAACAAAGTAATAAGTGATGAAAAACATACGTTTTTTTATTCCAGACGCACAGCCTAAAATACAAAAAAACATTTTTTAGTTATTTGAAAACTTATTACAATAAAACATTTTTAATAGTGAATATGTAAGAAAATAATAGTTTTAAATATAACATTTTTTACACGATTTTTAATCTGTTACGGGGGGTACTATACTTATTCCAGTAAATGAATATTAACCCATCTCATGTATTGCTAGAGGATTGTACTTATAATGTTAGAGAAAGGGTTAAACGAAAATCAAGGAAAAAAGAAGGACAATGATAAGAAAATGAACTGACTTAATAGTATACAAAAATAATAATTAAATTAAAAAAATATAATATAGAGTATATTATAATATACTCTATATACTGTCTTTACTATACCTGAACACTTATTTTTGCTATCTATAGTTCAACAAATTATACATATCAAATTAATGTTTGCTAGCTTTAAATTGACAAAATAGTATTTAAAAAAATAAAAATTAAAGGAGTTTAAATAGGAGTCATGTTTTATATAGTTTTTTAAGTATTTTGGTGCAGCTTTTACGTAAAAAAAAAATTAAATCCCTATTGAATTTTGTAGACTTATCTGGTCTAACACTATACAGGTGATTCTTTCATCGTGGGCCACTTAATAATCCAAAGAGTTAAATAAAAAAATTATTTTTTTTCATTATGTTTTTATACAATTTGATAACAGTTTTTCCCATTTTTTTTTGTTTTTACCACCTCCTACCTTAGTTTTTTTGTTAGCAGCTTTCGAATTTTAAATGGCAACATATACTTTTCATTAGCTTTACTATTTAAGTATCAAAGGTTTCTATCAATAAAATTAAGTTGGTAAGGGGGAACAAATGAAAATGTAAAAAATTGAGATTACATAATGAAAATAAAATTATAATATCTTGTTGAACACTATAAGATATTGAGAGATATATAATAAAATAATCACCCTGTGTAGTTATATATATGTATGTATGTATATATATAATATATATTATCCATTAGGTAACTATTAACTTCTAAGTTTATACTGACCTATGTTGATATCCCTCAAATCACCACCTAAACCGACATGTAATACAAATCATGACAGGGCCAAAGTAAACAAAAAAAAATTGATTTACTGACGAAAACAGTCTCTAAAAACCACAAAGTGGGTTCAACTAAAACTGTAGTTAATATAATGGCACAATCCATTAATAGTTAGACTGAGTTTTTAAAAATTCGGTCCTGATAAAAGAAGACTTATTATAGGGACTTAGTAAATTTCTATTTGAAAGAACTAAATAAAAAGTTGTTCCAGTAAACATTTAGTTGTTCTACCTCGATATTTATGTGACCCTACAGTAAACATAGTTTAAGTGGAACCATTTATAAAGTTTTTCTGTGTAGTAGGGTGGTATGCAAATGAATAGTAAAGACATATCAGATATGTGTCTAATACTTAAAATAGATAATTTATTACACATTTTTTCTAAAATATTTCTAATTTTTCATTTTTTTTTTAAATTATCTACGATTAAATCTGGAAACTTAAGTGTCAATGAAATATTCAAATTAATATAAAATACATTATTTAACAAACGTTATTCCAACTATAAAAAAACAGTGTTACTAAAGTATGACGCATGGGCCAACTATTTATTTAGTTGTACCACCTAAATATTTATGTGCCCCTATAGTAAACATAGTTTATGTGGGACCAACTATAAAGTTTTTCTGTGTAAGAGGGTAGTATAAAAATCAATAATAAAGATATATCAAATATAAGTATAATGTTGAAAACAGATGATCATTAGGTATAAGACTCTTTTTTTTCTAAAAAATATTTCTAATTTTTAGTTTGCTTTTTTAAAATATTTTACATTATTTAACAAACGTTATTCAAACTATATAAAAACAGTGTTATTAAAGTATGATGCAAAAGGCAATGTTCTTTGGAAAATAACAGAATTTACATATTTTTATACAAACACGTGTGCCAGATAAAATTTTCGTAAGCAATAAACGACTTTGGTTAGCGTTGCATGAAATTATTGTCCTATATTCCAAATACTCCTGATAATTTTCGAAATCAATAAGTTAAAATGTTAAATATATTTTTCAACCTACACATTTTAGTGATTAAGTTACTTTCCAAAAAAATACAAAGATGTTATAAATAAAATTATGATTAATTTAAGGACACAATACATTTCTAGTAGGGTTGAGTTATTAAAAAAATGGTCCTAATAAAAGTACGCTTATTATAGGGGCTCAATAAAATTCTAGTCGAAAGAACTAAATAAAAAGTTGTTCCAGTAATGCATGAAATTATTGGCTAAAACTATGGTTAATATAATGGCACAATACATTTCTAGTTGAAAAAATTAAAAAACAAGTCAGGACTAATGTTGGAAGCTTGTTTAAAAAAATTGAAACTTACCCTGCATGTCCATTACGAAGTAAAGAATATTCTCAAATTTATCTGGCAGTTATTATAGCCATAGTCGTACAAAGTAAAATCAGCTATTTTAATTACTTTTGTTTTTTATCAATTTTTATAGTATCTACTGTCATAAAAAAATGATAAAACAACAGTTTCTTTTATAAAAAATCTCTACTTACTGAAAAAATATCGATTTTTTTTATGAGAAACAGAAAATCATTAACTAAGTTTATAATCTGAAAAACACAAATTTATCTTAATTTTACACATATATATTTCACCTTTTTTGATTATTGTGATCTTTTTTCGCCGTTTTTCAAATAATCTATTGTATTTCCAACTCTTTTTTTTTAGCGTTTTTATGAAGCTGTTAGTTTAAAACTCACACATTTCATGTAAAGTTTAATTAGCTTTCTAATAAAAAGATCAGAACACGCTTTTTAGATTATAAACTCGATTTAATGATTTTCTGTTACAAGAAAAAATATCAATTATTTTACATAAGAAATTAATTTTTTACAAATTTTGTTTTATGTCTAATAATACTATAAAAAAACGATTAAAATAAAGTGTAAAGGAACTAAAAATTGAATCATCAATTTACACGAAACGACCAAAACAACAAAAAAAAAAATTGATTTTCTGACGAAAAGCGGTCTTTTTGTTGAAACAGACAGGCAGAATGAGTTTCAAAAAAATCTGCGTGGGAGTGTTCCAAAAGGTATATCGTATTTGGCGTTTTGGCGCTTGTATTAAAAAAAAAAAAACGTAAGATTACCAAGGTTTATTTCCGACTCTTTTTCACCTAACCAACAAATAACACAAATATAATTACTGTTTAATAACAAAAAAATGACATAGTTTTGTATAGCAATATAATAAATGGTTAGATATCCTAATTTACACGTATTGGTATTTCCTCGTCTCAAACTTTTCAACATAAAATAAATAAATAATTATTTTTATCAAATATTTTGTTACATTTTTGTACCGTGTAAATATACTCCAAAAACAAACGTATAAGGAATGTAATCTGTAATGGTATTGTTATCTACTTTTAGGTGTATATTACTACACGGTCATATTGTAAAATAAATCAGTAAAAATATACAAGGTAAATAGAAAAAGTGTATAAAATTATATATAAAATGTATAGCTGTATATAATTTATAAACATACTTGGAAATGGTCGACCCTGTGTGACTAAATATAAAAAACAAAATTAGATTTCAATAAAAATTCATACTCGCTTACATAATTTTTAAATTAAAATAATTTCTCCATTCAATTAACTTAAAATACAATTTGTCATTTAATTAGAGTCCATAAAATGTTGACCATTATAGTATTGAACCTGAGAATGTATTGTAAAAAAGAAATACAAATAAGACATACCCAATGATAGTTCCATAATAATGAAAACTAAAATACAAATAGTTAATTTCTGCATAATTTACTAATGAACTTGTTATACTGAAAAACTCTTCTACGAGAGACAATGCAAATTACAATACACAGTCTTAAAACGTACAGTGAAAAATTTAAATGAACATAATATACATTATTTAGCAAGTATATTCAGACTATATAGTAGAAGTTTTATTAAAGTATGACGCAAAAGGCAGTGTTATTTGTAAAAAAATAAAACAATACGTGTTTCCAAAAAACCTGCGAGATGGAGCAAACATTACGGTAGTAATAAACAATTTTCGCTAGCGTTGCATGAAACTTTTGTCCAATATTTAAATATTTCTGACACTTTTCGATAACAATATGTGAAAATGTTAAATATATATGTTAACCTATAAATTAAGGTGTTAAATAAACTCTCAACAAAATACTAAGATATTCCAACTAAATGTATGGTTAATATGTATGAGGGCCCAATACATTTCTATTTTAGACTAAGTTATTAAAAAGTTGTTCTAAATTAATGTACGCTTATTATAGGGGCTCAATAAATATCTAGTTGAAAGTACTAAATAAAAAGTTGTTCCAGTAATCGTTTAGTGGGGCTAACTATTTATTAGTTGTTCCCATTGGCTTTACCCCCTTCCCCTATAGCTGCTATGCCCCCCAAAAATTGTTTTCCAAATTAAAAAAATTTTGTATAGTTGAATTAAACATTTTAAAGAAACATTTTTTAAAATCTATACACAAGGTGATATAAGACATCCCTTAGATCATCCTGCATATAAATAATTCAGAACACATACACTGGTAGGTTACATAGTACTGGCGTTTTGATTTCCATTCTATTTTTATTTGCAACAGTTCATTGAGGTACAGTGTCAAAATGTTTAGGGAAGTATATGGTGACCAAATTTGAAGTTGTACTAATGCAAAACAAGATATTTTAAATTTGCCAGATATTAGAAGTTTATTGTGAAATACATATTTTTTGTTTAGTTATAGTAAAAGTTTACACAATATAATTTTGTATATTAATATTTATTAACAAGCTGTATTTTTAACTGAATATAAATATATATTTGTAACTTGGACTGTTGTCATTGGATCCTTTCTGTCAAAAAAAAAAAAAACTACTAATTCATAACTTAAATAGAATTAACTTTTATAAAGTATAACTATGTTTAATAAGGAACATTTATATTTGCCATATTTACTTAAGAAAATGTTGTTATACAATGTGATCTCAATTTTATATAATTTTTTTTGTTTTTACCCCCCCCCCCCCCAACTTAGTTTTTTTGATAGCAACTTTTAAAGCCTAAATGGTAACGTATATATTTCATTAACTTTTTAATGTACCTAAAATGTTGACTGGCCGATAACCAGTTTCGGATAACTATTTTTAAATTTTAAGAGTTTTAAAGTTAGGATGGAAGGGGAAGTATGTTTGGGAAATCCGCGTCGATAAAAAAAAATGCTATACTTCAACGTTTTACCTGCCCTAAACTTGAAACTTTAATAACTTCAAAATATTCAAAAAGTGCTATCAAAAAACTAAGTTTAGTGGGGGTAAAAACAAAAATAATTGTGAAAAATCGAGATCACATTGTATAAAAACAATATGATAAAATAAATTAATTTCTTATTAAACCCTATGATATATTGAGTGGTTCATGATAAAAGAGTCACCCTGTATATATATCATAGCACAAATATAATTAACTTTTATAATGTTACCTATGTCACTAATAAGGATTGTTGATACCTTCAAAAGATACCTAAGGAATAACATTTTATAATATTAGAACTCTATATATTTATACAGGGTGTCATGTAAAGTTCTACTGAGCTTCAAATCAGACATTCAGGATGCTCTATGGGTACAATAAATGGTATTCATTTTTTTTAAATTTTAAATAATTTTAGCATCCTGAATGTCTCATTTGAAGTTCGGTAAAACATTCCATGACACCCTGTATATATATATATATATATAACAATTAGGTTAGTTTACCGGATATTTAGGTTTGGTTAACGCCTTTTTTTCGTCGCTCTCAGAAAGTCCTAAGCACGATACAAAACGTTATTATATTAAATTAATATTATATATGAAAATGAATATTAAATATAATGTTTTAATATATAATGACAACAATAATAATACAATTAAAACGGTAATATTAGAACTTTAATACGGCGAACCGTGGACAGCAAGGTAACGTTTCCACGATGCGGTCAAGGAATTATCTTGGAAGAAAATAATAATTTCTGTAATATATAAAAGGGACGTTTACAAATTCCACTAACCTAACCGAAACGTAAATATGAGATTCTCAGAAACACAATAGTCTTTACAGCGCACACGGAAACTGCGTACTTGAATTTCGATCACGACCAAAATATAGTAAACCAAATCTGCTAAACGATACTATTTTATGTTTTAAGATTGTATAAATGAATCACCAAATTAATAACGTTGAGTTAAAAAAAAAATAATCTTTTAAAAATAAATAAAGACTACCTTGTTGGCGATCGATCAAATTCGATGACGATTTGCCAAAACATGAACGAATTCCGTCAGGTTTTGTTGTTTGCTTTGGCTTTTCTATCGCCGGTCTTGGTGATATCCTGGGGTCATTTGGCTCTAAAATTATGTGTTAAAAAAATATTCAAATAAATATAATATACATTATAAAACAAATGTTATTCAAACTATATAGAAACAGTGTTTTTTTAAATATGAAGCAAATGACAATAATATTTGGAAAATAACAGAACTTATTATCATGTTTCTAAAAAACACATTTGGCTGATAAAATGTTTCGTTAGCAATAAACAATTTTGCATATAAATAAGTAAACACGGAGAGTAATATGTTAATAAAGTTATTATAGTATGACGCAAATGGCAATGTTATTTGAAAAATAACAGAATGTACATATTTCTATACAAACACATGTGCCGAATAAAATATTTCATAAGAAATGAACAATTTTGGTTAGCATTGCATGCAATTTTTGTCTAAAATTTTAAATATTTCTGATATTTTTCGATAGCAATAAGTCAAAATGTTAAATATGTTATTTAACACATAAATTAAGGAAATAAGTCAGTCTCTAAAAAACACAAAGTTGGTTCAACTAAAACTGTAGTTAATACAAGGACACAATCCATTACTAGTTAGACTGAGAAGTAAAAACTTAGTCCTGATAAAAGAATACTTATCATACATACATAAACCAAATCTGCTAAACGATGCTATTTTATGTTTTAAGATTATATAAATGAATTACCAAATTAATAACGTTTAATTTTTCAATAAAAAAAAAAATCATCTCTTAAAAATAAGTAATGACTACCTTGTTGGCGATTGATCGAATCCGACGATAGTTCACCAAAACATGAACAAGATCTGTCGGGAATTTCTGTTGCCGGAACTTTTATTTCTATTGTTTGCTTGGGTTTTTTTGGGTCTAAAAATATGCGACAAAAAAATATTCAAATATATTTACGGTTAATTTTTTAATTTAAAAAAATTATATATAAAATATAAGTTATAACTACCTAATTTGCACGGGCATGGGAAGTGACATACATAAACTCCGTTGGAGGTTTCTATTGTCTGAGGAATTCCACAAGCTTTTAAGCAAATAAAGTATTAGATATTTCAAAATAAAACGGAGATAACAAATCAAAATTAATAATTGCAAATTTTTAAATGAGCACAAAATGGTGTAATCTAATCGAAGTCGCACAACTATTTTAACCTTTATGCCTCGGTACATAATTTGTTGATGATAACAACACACTAAACTAGTTTAATGTAGAGTTCTGTCACATTTTCGAAACAAAGTTCAAATAAAAGCTGTTAATTTTTTGTCAAGTTTATTGTGTTTTATAATAATATAATTTATATTACAGTGTATACAGCTTGTTTAAATTGTTTCAAAGATATTCGATTATAGAACTATTAATAATCGAACATTTTAAAATAAAAGAACAAGATATTAAGACGTGTAAGATAAATTAGCTCTTATCGTGAATATTTTTTATACCATAGTTCAATTGTGCAAATAAGATTAAATGAAACAAAGTAATAAGTGACGAAAAAACAAACCATATCTTATTAAATCCCAGCCTAGAATACAAAAAAAAAAATAACATATTTTATTTATTTGAGATTTTTTAACAATAAAACATTTTTAATAGTAAATATGTAAAAAAAAAATAGTCTTAAGTATAACATTTTTTACGCGATTTTAAAACTGTTAAGAGGGATACGATACTTATTCCAGTCCATGAATATTAACACATCTCATGTATTTCTGGTGGTTTGAACTTATAGTGTTAGAGAAAGGGTTTGACAAATTAACGAGGAAAAATAAGGTCAATGATAAAAAAAAGAACTAATTTGATGGTATACAATAATAATAATTAAATTAAAAAAAATATATATACTCTACTGTCTATACTATATATATACTATAGAGAAATATGTGAAAATCCATTTAACGAAATTTATTATAGAATAGTTAATAAAATATGTATGACAAACCATTTTTTGTTCGACTGTCTCGGAAAAAGATAAAGAATGATTTCTTTCCTTTCAAACTATACAGTGTACTTCTTTTAGCATGAGCCTCTCAATATATCATAGAGTTTAATAAGAAATTAATTTTTTTTCATTAATTTTTATAAAATTTGATTTCAGTTTACACAATTTTTTTTATCTTTACGCCCTTCAATTTTAATTTTTTTGACACCAATTTTTGCTATTTTAAATGGTAACACATACATTTCATTAGCATTTTAAATTGAGAAAAATGGGATACAAATTTTGACTCGTCGATAACCAGTTTCAGATAACTATTTTTGAAGTAATTGACGTTTCAAGTTTAGGTGGTAGGAAAGATGGAGTGCAGTATTATTTTTATCTGCACGCATTATTCAACCAAATTTTCCCTCCCATCCTAACTTTTAAAATTTTATAACTTTAAATAGTTAGTCTAAAACTGGTTATTGATCAGTCAACATTTTTTATACATTATTCTCAATTTAAAAGTTTAATTAAACTTTTAATTGACCTATAATAGTATTTATAAAAATTAAAGTTAAACAAGTTTTAATAAGAATCACGTTTTATAAGATTTTTTAGTACTTAGGTGCAGCTTTTACATAAAAAAAAGTAAGCCCCTAATGAGTTTTGTAGACTTATCTGGTCTAACAGTGGTAATACTGAGTGATTCTTTCATCTTGATTTCAATAAATCATAGAGTTTTTCAATAAAAAAAATCATCTTTTAAACTACCTTGCTGACTACTTTGTTGGTGACAGCACGGTTCGCCTAAACATGTACGAGATCCGTCGGGCTTTTTTGTTGCCGGAACTTTTAGTCCTAGTAATTGCTTGAGGTTATTTGGGTCTAAAATGATGTGTCAAAAAAATATTCAAGAAAATATAATATACATTATATAACAAATGTTATTCAAACTATATAGAAACAATTTGGAAAATAACAGAACATATTATCATGTTTCTAAAAAACACATTTGGCTGATAAAATATTTCGAATATTCCTGATATTTTCCGAAAACAATAAGTAAAAATGTTAAATACATTATTTAACCTATAAATTAAGGTGATTAAGTTACTCTCCAAAAAAATACAAAGTTGGTCCAACAAAAACTATGGATAATATGTATAAGGGCACATTACACTTCTAGTTTGACTGTGTTAATAAAAATTTGGTCCAACTAAAAGTACGCTTAATAAAGGTGCTCCATACAATTCTAGTTGAAATAACTAAATAACAAATTAGGACTAATATTGGATGCTTGTTTAGAAATATTACCGTTTTCAGATAGTGTGAATATAAATAAGTAATAATAAAGAGTAATAAGAGCAAATGTACAAATATATATATATATATATGGGCCAAAACGCCAATTATGAACGATCATTCGGAGCAATCTCCCGCGGAATATTTTTAAACTTACCCTGCATGTCTATGAAAATATATTATTTTCGTTGGAACAGACACGCAGAGTGAGTTTCAAAAAGTTCAGGGCGGGAGTGCTCCAAAATTTCGTTCGTATTTGGCTTTTTTGCGCTTGTAATAATAAAAAAACAACGTGAAATTACCATGGTGCTTTCGTAACTTAAACAACTCGTCTGATGTTATTATCTTCTTTTTTTCAGCTTTTCATTAAAACATAAATAAATCATTATTTTTATCAAATATTTTGTATACATATGAAAATTATACAGATGATTCATTAAGGATAAGACACTTTTTTTAAGGTGATTTTAATTAAGGCGATTAAATTACTACCCAAAAAAATACAAAGTTGGTTCAATTAAAACCATGGCTAATATAGGGCACAATACATTTCTAGTTGAAATAACTAAATAACAAGTCAGGACTAATATTGGATGCTTCTTTAGAAATATTATCAATCGGTGTACATATAAATAAGTAAGCACGGAGATTAATAAAAGCAAATATACATAAATATATACAGGGTGTAAAGTAATGTTTAACCGAGCTTCAAATGACACATTCAAGATGCTCTATTGGTACAATAAATGGTATTCATTTTTTTTAAATTTTAAAATTACTTAGAATAGAATCCGCGTCTCGTTAACAAAATAACTTCAGGTTTGAAATCAGGAGATAAAATCTTGTTGCATTGATATGTAACATGATTTCTTGGTATCTGGCCACACGCACGTCCACGAGGTGACCACTGAGTGGCCTCTACGTGAACAAAACCAACATATGGCATGTGACACATCAATTTAGGTTAGAATTTTATTCTCAATTCAGTGGATCCATTAGAATTTGTTCATATCAAATTATATTTATATCATTTATTGTATTAAGCTCGATAGAACTTCAATTTTCACCCTGTATATAAATACGCTAAAACGCCAAATTTGAACGATCTTTCGGAACAACCCCCGCGGACTTACCCTGCATGTCTATTATGATAAAAAAATTATTCTCAATTATTTTAGCCATAGTCGTATAAAGTATATTTAGCTTTTTTCTTAACTCTTATTTTCTATCAATTTTTATAGTACCTATAAAAATCCCACGGTAGTGCTCAAAAAGTTTGTTCGTATTTGGCGTTTTGGCGATTGTAATAATAAAAAACAACGTGAAATTACCCTGTTCCTCTTGTGACACCGTCGAATCTCCTTCTATTGATATATCACGGGCTCTCACTTTTCATTATAAAATAAATAAATCATTATTTTTATTAAATAATTTTGTTTAATTTTGGTACCGTGTAAATACTCCAAAAACAAAACGTATAAGGAATGTAATCTGTAATGGTATTGTTATCTTCTTATAGGTGTATATTACTACACGGTCATGTTGTAAAATAAATTAGTAAAAATGTACAAGGTGTATAAAATTGTATGTAAAATGTATAGCTGTATATAATTTATAAACATACCAGGATTGCTCGGTCGACCTTGTGTAACTAAATTTAAACATCAAAATTATGTTTCAATATAAATTCATACTCGCTTACATAATTTTTAAATGAAAATAATTTCTCCATGCAATTAACTTCTTTTAATACAATTTGTCATTTAATTAGAATCCATACAATTTTGACGATTATATAATTGAACCTGAGAATGTATCGTAAAAAAAAAAATACAAATAAGACATACCCAATGATAGTACCATAATAATGAAAACTATAATACAAATAGTTGATTTCTGCATAATGTAATAAAGAACTTGTTATACTGAAAAACACTTCTACGATAGACAATGAAAACTGCGATACACAATCTTAAAATGTACAGTGAAAAATTTAAATGAACATAATATACATTATTTAGCAAGTGTATTCAGACTATACAGTAGCAGTTTTATTAAAGTATGACGCAAAAGGTATTGTTATTTGTAAAAAAACATAACAATACATGTTTCCAAAAAACCTGTGAGGTAGAGCAAACATTCAGGTAGTAATAAACAATTTTGGGTAATACTAAAAAAAAATTGCCCAGTATTCAAAATATTTCAATGAAATATATAAATATCGGTTGTATTTATCACAATTATTTTATAAAATTGCATGCATATAATGTCAACCTGTCATTTAAGAGTAACCAAAAAAAGGGACCAACAATAAAGTGTTTCTGTATAGGAGGGTGGTATACAAATAAATAGTAAAGATAAATCAAACATTTAAAATAAATGATTTATTACATTTTTTTTCTAAAATAATTATAATTTGTCATTTGCTTTTTTAAAATCTTTTACGATTTTTAAATCTGGAAACTAATGGGTCTATGAAATATTCAGTTGAATATAAAATACATTATTTAACAAACGTTATTCAAACTTAATAGAAACGGTGTTATTAAAGTATGACGCAAGTGGCAATGTTATTTGGAAAATAGCAGAACGTACATGTTTTTAAGAAAACACATGTGCAGGATAAAACATTTCGTTAGCAATAAACAATTTTGGTTAGAGTTGCATGAAATTATTGTCCTATATTCCAAATATTCCTGATATTTTTCGATAACAATAAGTCAAAATGTTAAATATAATATTCGACATATAAATTAAGGAAATAAGTCAGTCTCTAAAAAACACAAAG